AAGAACGAAGTAGAAGACGGCGAAAGTACAAGACGAAAGTACAAAGACGCAAAGTACAATGTCGACAGTACAAGTCGAAGTACCACAAGACGAGAGTACAAGACGAAGTACAAGACGAAGTTATCAAGACGAAGTACAAGACGAAAGTACAAGACGAAAGTACATAGTCGAAAGTATCAAGTCGAAAGTACAAGAGCGAAGTACAAGTCGAGAAGTACAAGAGAAAGTACACGAGACGAAAGTATGCAAGACGATGAGTACAAGGACGAAGTAAAGTCGAAAGTACCAAGTCGAAGTACAAGACGGAAAGTACAAGGACGAAAGTAAAAGCGCAAGTAAAGACGGAAAGTACAAGTAGACAAGTACAAGACGAAAGTACAAAGACGAAAGTACAAGAACGAAGTACAAGACGAGAGTAAAGACGAAAGTTCACAGACGAGAGGTACAAGACGAAAGTACATAGAGAAAGTACAAGAGCGAAAGTTCACAGACGAAAGTACAAGTTCGAAAGTACAAGTCGAAAGTACAAGAGAAAGGTAAAAGACGAAAGGTACAAAAACGAAAGTACAAGACGAAAGTACAAGACGACAGTACAAGACGAAAGTACAAGACGAAAGTACAAGACGAAAGTACAAGACGAAAGTCAAGTCGTAAAGTTACAAGTCGATAAGTACAGACGAAAGCTAAAGACGAGAAGTACAAAACGAAAGTACAGACGAAAGTAGCAAGACGAGAGTACAAGACGAAAGTACAAGACGCAAAGTACAAGAACGAAGTACAAGACGAAAAGTAAAGTCGAAAGTACAAGTGTAAAGTACATAAGAAAGGTCAAGACGAAAGTAAAAACGAAAGTACAGACGAAAGTACAAGGACGAATACAAGTTCGAAGGTATCAAGTTCGAAAGTACAAGACGAGAGTACAAGTCGAAAGTACTCAGACGAGAGTAAAGCAAAGTCGAAAGTAAAAAGACGAGAGTACAAGTCGAAAGTACAAGACGAGAGTACAAGTCGAAGTAACAAGACGAGAGTAAAGTCGAAAGTAGCAAACGAAAGTAGCAAGACGAAAGTACAAGACGAAATGTACAAGTACGAAAGTACCAAGACGAAAGTAAGACGAAAGTACAAAACGAAAGTACAAGACGAAAAGTTACAAGACGAGGTAGCAAGACGAAAGTACAAGACGAAAGAAGTTACCAAAACGAAGTAACAAGACGAAAGTAACAAGACTGAAGTACAGAGACGAAGTAGCAGCGAAAGTACAAAGACGAGGTACGAAGTCGAAAGTAACAAAACGAAAAGGGTCACAAGGACGAAAGTACAAGGGAACGGAAAGGTACAAGACGAAAGTTTACAGGAGACGAAAGGTTACAGAGACGGAAGAAGTAAAGAGAAAGTACAAAACGAAAGGTAAGAGAATAAAGTAGCACAGACGAAAGTACAAGACGAAGTAAAGACGAAAGTACAAGACGAAAGTACAAGTCGAAAGTACAAGACGAAAGTACAAGACGAAAGTACAAGACGAAAGAACAAGACGATTAAGTACAAGACGAGAGTAAAGTCGAAAGTACAAAAGACGAAAGTACAAAACGAAGTAACAAGACGAAAGTACAAGACGAAAGTAACAGCAGAGAAAGTAAAGACGAAAGTACAAGACGAAAGTTCAAAAACGAAAGTACCAAGACGAAAGTACCAAGAGAAAGTACAAGAGCGAAAGTACAAGAACGGAAAGTACAAGCCGAAAGTAAAAGTCGAAAGTACAGAGAGAGTAAAGTCGAAAGTACAAAAGAACGAAGTAACAGAACGGGAAGTACAAGGAGAAAGTACAAGACGAAAGTACAAGACGAAAGTACAAAACGAAAGTACAAGAGCGAAGAGTAGCAAGATGAGAGTCCAATGACGAAGTACCAAGTCCGAAAGTACATAGACGAAAGTACAAGAGAAAGTACAAGGACGAAAGTACAACGAGAAGTACAGACGAGAAAAGTACAAGACGAAAGTACAAGGAAAGTGCAAGGAAAGTACAAGACGAAAGTACAAGAGAAAGTACAAGACGAAATACAAGAGAAAGTACAAAACGAAAGTACAATAACGAAGTACACAGACGAAAGTAAGAAGACGAAAGTACAAGTGAGAAAGTTAAACAGACGAAAGTATCAAGACGAAACAAGACGAAAGTACAGAGACGAAAGTACAAGACGCAAGACGAAAGTACAAGACGAAAGTACAAGACGAAAGTACGAAAGACGAAAGTACAAAACGAAAGTACAAGACGAAAGTACAAAACGAAAGTACAAGACGAAAGAGTACAAGACGAAAGTACAAGACGAAAGTACAAGACGAAAGTACAAGAGAAAAGAGAAAGTACAGAAAGAATACAAGTCGAAAGATACAAGAACGAAAGTACAAGACGAGAAGTAGCAAAAGCGAGAGTAAAAGTGAAGTACAAGACGAAAGTACAAGAGAAAGTACAAGACGAGAAAGTACAAGACGAAGTACAAAACGAAAGGTACAAGACGAAAGTACAAATCGAAAGTACAAGACGAAAGTACAAGACGAAAGTACAAGACGAAAGTACAAGACGCAAACAAAGAGAAAGTACAAGACGAAAGTACAAGAGCGAAAGTACAGAAGACGAGTAAAGAGAAAGTACAGCGAAAGTACAAGACGAAGTAAAAGACGAAAAGTAAAATCGAAAGTACAAGACGACAAGACGAAAGTACAAGAACGAAAGTACAAGAGAAAGTACAAAAGACGAAAGTACAAGACGAAGTACGAAAGTACAAGACGAAAGTACAAAAACGAAAGTTACAAGGACGAAGTACAAAAGTAAAGTACAGAGAGAGTACAAGACGAAAGTACGAAGTAGAAACGGAAAACAAGACGGAAAGTACGAAAGTACAAGACGAGTACAAGACGAAAGTAAAGAAAGACAAGAGAGTACAAGTCGAAAGGGTAAAGTAGACGAAAGAGACGAAAGTACAAGACGAAAGTACAAGTCGAAAGTACAAGACGAAAGTACAAGACGAGAGTACAAGGCCGAGTACGCTTTCTCCATCAAAGGGAGTTTTTTTTACAGAGAGAAATATTTTTTTTTTCGGGTTTCCTTTCCATTCGCGTCCTTTTTTTTTTCGTTACATTTTTTTTGTGTGTACGTTGTTGTTGGTTTTATTGCTGTTATTGTTTTTTTTTTTTGGGGGGGGAGGGAGGGAGAGAGATAGATAGATAGAGAGAGGGAGGGAGAGAGGGAGGGAAGGAGGGAGGGAGGGAGGGAGGGGGAGAGAGAGAGAGAGAGGGAGGGAGGGAGAGAAGAGAGAGGGAGGGAGGGGAGAGAGAGAGGAGAGAGGAGGGAGAGAGAGAGAGAGAGAGAGAGAGAGAGAGAGAGAGGAGAGAGAGAGAGAGAGAAGAGAGAGAGAGAGGAGAGAGAGAGAGAGAGAGAGAGAGAGAGAGAGAGAAGAGAGAGAGAGGGAGAGAGAGGAGAGAGAGAGAGAGAGAGATTTTGTTTTCATCAATTCATTTCGCTTAGGAATGACAAGCCTATACAGCACAGATTAAATGGCTACAGAGTATTCGTGACACGCGGGCACGCCATTGTAAACTATAAAAGTAGAGATGAATTAATAACATAATGATAAGCAATGGAAGCTATATATATATATATATATATATATATATATATATATATATATATATATATATATATATATATATATATATATATATATTATATATTATATATATATATGGGATTAACAACCACAAAATATGACTATTGCAAAAGCATTTTGACATCTTTTATTTGCAAATTTCTATGACAGAATCTCTGGCATTAAATCAGCCACTTTCGAGGAAGTAATGTTGTAGGTGGTTGGCATTGTGTGCGTCGCCCAACTTTTGTGGAATTCATGTTGAACAGATTGCAACAGGAACAACGAAGGGAAGGGCAAGAAAACACACGAATATGCCGAAGGCCTTTTCACTATTGCTTCGTCAGGGCATATGCCTTGAAGTCGCCCAACTTGCAAGATGAGTACTGGGGCACGTCCTCTGCCTCGCCCACCTGCCACACGCGTCTGCAGCCGAACCGGAGCCGGGCAGCCACCACATCACGTCTTCTGACCAGCAGACCGCGGCGTCGCTACCTGTAAGGAGCGAGATGCGAAGCGGTCGTAGTGCTGGATGCTTACGCTCGCTGGCCGCTCGTCGTACCTGTGCTGGGAGGTTGGCAGCTGAGCGGAAAGCATGGATCCTAAGCCTGTAGGGGGGGGGGGGTGGCTGGGGAGGTGTCGGCAGCAGGTAGAGTAAGCCTACAGCCAGGTTTCGGAAGACGGTCCACCACATCCTTTGCTGTCACTCCGACACGTGAGGAAATCCATACGAAATGTATTAAAAGTGCAATTCCAATCTGTGATTAGATGGCGTGGTATGTGATTGACTAGGAGAGGGCACGAAGGGCAGCCTGTGAGTCACAAATAACCAGACCATTGCTTCTGGTGCGTAGAAGTAGGCTAAAAGCATCATACAATCCATACAGTTCTCAGGAGGTAGAGATTGACCAGTCCTGCAGACGCCTCCCAATCCATCCTCCATTTGGCGGTTCCATGGGAAAAAAGACAACCCAAACCGCACTTCCATCAGTTTACAAAGACCCATTCACGTAGATGGTGCGGGAGACAGGAATGGAAGACGCTACTTTGGCAATGGTCTCCAGGGTTAGGTCTTTCTGTTGGCAGGTTGGGTCCCTCCTACAAGGGGGTGCGTAGGAAACGGCTACCGGAGGAATCTGCCACGGGGGAGGACCATGGTCGATTTCCTCTTGGGGAACGTAGATATCTAGTCTTCTGAGGTCTCGGCGAGAGAGAGAGAGAGAGAGAGAGAGAGAGAGAGAGAGAGAGAGAGAGAGAGAGAGAGAGAGAGAGAGAGAGAGAGAGAGAGAGGAGAGAGAGAGAGAGACAGAGAGAGAGAGAGAGAGAGAGACAGACAGACAGACAGACAGAGAGAGGCAGACACAGACAGGCAAACAGACAAACGAGCAGATAGACAGACCGATAGACAAATACACAGAGAGATCAAACAACCTACCGAAGAAAAATTAAACCACCAACGCTAAAATGTATCCAGTTTAACGTGTTTTCGTTCAGCAGATTTTCACGCGAATAATTTCATAAATTTGCAATGCCTCCACGCGATAAATTTTCATTACTGGCCATGGAGCCTCTGAAGCCTTATTTTACCTTTAGTAGTTAAGCTCATGGAACGTAATTTCTTCCACGGTAGCGCTCTCATAAAAAAAAAAAAAAAAAAAAAAAAAAAAAAAAAAAAAAAAAAAAATAAAGGTCATGCGGTGTTAATACCTCCCCTTCCACCACTGTCATGTTGCAATCTCGTATCAAGTACCGCTGATCAGGCAACGTTGATTAAATGTGCGTATAGTAGTTATCGCAATATTGCAGAGAAGAAAAGAAAATATGATAAAAATAGATTAAATGATGATGATAATGGTAATAAGAATATACAAAAAATATGAAAAATTCATACACATGTATTTTTTTTTCTATTTATCATGCGATTGCAATGTGAATCATGCAACGCGGTATTTCAGAAGCGACTAATATTCTTATCAAAAGGGGTATATAGCGCCATGCAATTTCGCACACACAGCAACATCCATAATGATAAGCAACGTTATTATAAATAAAATCTCAAATGATCAAGCACTATGCCATGCAGCGGTGCGTGACGTCAGAGCAGCGACGTCAAACAACGTTATAATCACTGGTTATTTCGCGTTAACAACTCGGCATCAAATAACGACCGTCGGCAACTCTGTCCATGGATGTTAAGAAACGATTTTATGCTCTGCTGTTTACACCACTTGACAAAATTGTATATATTCGCTTTTCGCCAGAACTGCACGTCTATATTCATCGTTAGATAAATAAGAATTTCCTTTGAAATGTGTATTATAAATGTATTATTCACAACTGAAATTGAAATGCGTATTATAAATGTATTTATTCACAACTGGAATTGAAATGCGTATTATAATTGTATTTATTCACAGCTGAAATAAAATCAAAGAGGACAATATGGAAAATCCCAATTAATTTGGAAGACAGACATTCACAAAACTAAAATAAGAATAGTTTTTTAGATCTCAAGTATTGTTATCTTTACTGAACATGTTTTCCTGCAATGTAGAGAAGCTGCATTGCCATGACAACCGAACAAATATCTACAATGTTTTTGCATCAGCCTGTAAATACGATTGGTTTGAAAGATAAATAACCAAATATACACGCACACAGACACACACACACACATACACACATATACATATACATACACAATGCACACACACACATGCACACACACACACACACACACACACACACACACACACACACACACACACACACACACACACACACACACACACACATATATATATATATCTGATAAAACAAATGAATGAAAACATTAATAAAAATAAATTAGTATGAAGTGGCAAATCAAAAACACAATCAACGAACGAAAACAAAAAAACAAACAAAAAACAAAAAAAAAATCAAATAAACAAAACCGCAGCGGGGGGGGGGGGGCGCACAAACCCCCCCCACCCCCACCCACCCACCCCACCCCACCCCCACCCCCACCCCCGCCTCGAGACGCCCTCCACATCAAAAGCTTCCTTAAAGAAACAGCCGAGTGCCGTCGCCGCCTCCTTCTTCTTCTTCTTCGCCTTCGGGGAAACGCGCAGCGAATCAATACCGAGACATAGAAGCGTTGCGAAAGTTTGCCATGTGCTGCCGGGGTGGGCGTGCGGGCGTGCGGGCGTGCGGCGGTGGGCGGTGGCGTGCGGCGGGCGTCAATGGCGCGACAAGGGCCTGCCACGACCTG